GAGTTTACGGAGCCGAACACGAACTAAGATGTGTTCATTCGTGTTCGGCTCGTTTTGGCTCGAAATACTACTCATCAAGTTTATATATATATATATATCTAAAGTAGTATTTTAAAAAAAATCTAATTGACTACAATACTACAAAGATTTATAATCAATTAAAATATTGATTAAGAAAATAGAATAAAAATTATTAAATTAGATTTAAATAATATTTTAATATAAATAATAATTTTTAAATCTTGCTCAAATACTTATTGTCTTATGTCTTATGATTATATGATTAGGGCTGTGATTAGGGTTGTCAAAACAATTTTTTGTTCGTGAACGCCTCGTGTTCGGCTCGCTAAGCAAACAAGCCGAACACGAACACAATTTTTGAGCTCGAAATATAAACGAGCCAAGGCTCAGCTCGTGTTCGGCTCGTTTACACCCCTAATTAGTTTTATTTTAAATTTAATTTTTTAATATATTCATTATTTTTCAGATTCATGCTTGGGAGATAATTAATTATTCATTGATAAATAAATAATGTTTAAAGTTTATTTGTCCTAAATATCGCATAAATATTAAAAGGGGCATTTACATGCATACCACCCAAATCTTATATATTTGCGTACGTAACATCTTATTCAAATGGGCAAATTACTCATTATAGTCAATTTTGAGTTGAGCCGGCTCGAAACTGAATCGAGCTTAATCCGGATTAAAATCAAAACGAGCTAGCTAAAATTCAGCTATTTTGATCCGTTTCAACTCCAAATCGGCTCAATCCGACTCAAAATCGAAATTTAATGTCGCAAATTGAATTATGTGGATCCGTTCTAGGCCAGAATTGCCTCGAAATTTGACTCCTGATTCGTAATATTCAATTTTACTTAGCATTATATATAATTTTTACAAGCAAAAAAATAATACAAGTCCGTTTCGAGTCAATTCGAGCCGATCCATGTATGATTTAAAATCGGCTCGAAAAAATTTCAATGAAGAGTTTACGTTCATAGCACGGTTCATTTATTGCAATCAAAATTGGTATCAATTTTCAAGTCATAACCCCATATGTAAATAAATAAGAATTGAGTGGTAGATATGTAAATTTCATGAATTAAAAATTATTGATCTTATATTAAAATAAAAGCAAGCACGATCATCAACACCAGTTAATATCTAGCTGTCCCATTTATATAGAACAAGAGCTTAAAAAATATTATTATTCGTGTTCAAGTTATTTATATTTCGAACATAAAAAGTGTATTCGTGTTCCGCTCATTTGCTTAGAGAGTCGAAAACGAGCCATTCGTGAACAATGAGTCGTTTTGACAACCTTAATCACGTAGCCGTAAGTTGTTTAGTGTTGGGGCAATAGTTAAATATTATTGTTTCTATTAAAACATCATTTAAATATAATTTAATATATATTTGCTTATTTAATTAATTAATAATTTTAATTGATTATAAATCTTTATAGCCTTGTAGTCAATTAATTTTTTAAAAATACTACTCATCAATATATATATATATATATATATAATTGAATATTAGTATTTCAAGCCAAAACGAGGAGAACAGGAACGAAAAAATCTTAGTTCGTGTTAGACTCGTTTATATATTGAGCACAAAACAAGTGTTCGTGTTTGACTCGTTAACTTAACAAACGAACAAACACGAGCTTTTTAACGAGCCGAGCATGTGTTGTTCGCGAACAATGAACCGTTTTGACAGCCTTCTCTACATCTACTTGAACTTGCTCCACATTTTTTAGAATTTGTTGGAAGTGATTGTAATTTTTTAAAAGATAATTGAATAATTATTGTGCACAAAATATATATTAAAAAAATCAATTTAAGTTAGGGCTTATTTGTTTTAAATGAAGTAGTAAGCAAGGTTTGATTTAATTTAAAACGAGATTAGCTATTTAAAATAGAAATATATAATTTTTAATTACAAATTAATTATAAAACGTCAAGGAGGAGCGAAACCCTAGCAACCATATATATATATATATATATATGATTTCTTTTAATTCATGTTATTTAAAGTTCAAATGCCGTAAATTGCAATTATTGGATAAAATAAATTTTCAAATAACTTTATCTCTTATTTATTTAATTTAACAATTTTTTTTAATTCTGATAATTTTAATTTAAGGAAAATAATCAAAGGACTTTTATGTACAAACCCTCACCTAAACGGGCACCTAAAACATTCCATAAGCTACTTAGCTGTCCATCATGTCATACTTTAATACACTATAAAGTGTTACAATATTAGTCTTGATTGTTTACATGTAAAAGTACCAAATAATTTCTCATTATTTTAAAAATGAGTTCTAATAATTCTCATATTTTGACAATTTTTTAAATTCTTAAAATTCTGTTTTGATAACTACTTTCTTGCTGTTTTCTAGAAATTTTTGTGATAAAAAACTGATTTTTTTTCAACCCAACATGTTAAAGTGTAGTGACTGTAAAAAAATTCGGCTCTGATTTTTTGATATAAAAAAATATTTGTATTAGTAATCGCAGTTTTTTGAGCAACGCTCTTCAACAACAACTTCATAGTTACGCGTCTGTTTAAGGCAGACACAGCTGTTTGAAGAAGTAATTGTGAAGTAGTTGAAGAAGAAGCTGTGTTCAAAAAGCTACAGTGGTTATTACAATTTTTTTTTTAGAAAGTGAGACCGCAACTTCCTATCAACCAACACAGGCAGTGAGGCTTGATGGGAAAACTCAACTTTAAGCTCGAGCTTTTTGAGAATGCAGATGAATACAGTTTTGCCAAATAGAAAAAAATTACGATGCCTTTTTATTAATATATAAATGATTCGTTTTTTACACTTCAAAAGGGTGAAAATGTATTTCACAGAAGAAAAGTGTAATAAGGAAATTCACAATTAAACCCCTCCTTAATCCAATATCTACACAGCAAACCCTCCCATCCAATTGAATTCCCACTTCCTGCAAAATACAAAATCAATAATTCAACATTTCACCCTATAAAAATTAAACAAAGCTCACAATAATAATAATTAATTACCTCTGAAAGGACTTTTGAGGAATCAAGGATCCACTTGGATGGGGAAGGGGGGCTGGAGAAGATCGTACGGCGCCCAGAGAGCATCAATAGGGCACGGACGGCCAGCGTCGATTCGGACCCATGGCTTCCCCTTCCCACTCCAATGCAGCAGGCTCGCCGGCCCTGGATGGAGATTCCTGCACAATCCCCTGAAATTATCTCCTCCCAATCCATGCTGGTTCCACCGGTGATCCACCGCCGCGATCCTCCCGGAGAACACCAGCAGAAACGGCGGCAGAGATCCTAGTTCGTAGATCCGCATTCGCTTCTGTAAATCCATCCATTCCTCGATTTTCTCCGTATGACCCTCCTGCCTCCACCTCTTCAGATCCATCACCATCACCCCTGTGTTGAAGTAGCAAGCGCGGCGGCCATGGAAGGTGGTGGAGAGGGCGGGGTTTGACCAGAATGTGGGGGTGAAGTATGCGGTGAAATTAGCGTTGCAGTATTCGGGGGCGGCGAGGGAGAAAGGGGGAGGGATGGGGGTGGCGGCGAGGGAGGCGATGTCGTCGACGAGGATGAGGTCGGAGTCTAGGTAAACGGCGCGATGGATGCAGGAGGGGAGGAGATGGGGGAGGTAGGAGCGAGCGTAGTTGAGGGGACGATCGAGGGCGGAGCGGATGGAGGTGGAGATGAGGCCGGAGACGAGAGAGGGATCGAAGTGGTGGATGAGGAAGGGGAGGGATGGGAAGGAGGAGGCAATGGTGGAATTGAGATGGGGGATGGATTTAGAGGCGAGGAAGTGGAACTGGATTGATTGGGGGCAGGAGGAATGTTGAAGAACGGAGTTGATGGCGGCCATGGAGCCGCGCAGGTAGGCGATGTCGAGAGTCATGGCGACATGGATGAGGGCGGCGGGCGAGCACACCATGGCCGGCGATGGGGGTAGGGGAGGGGGGCAGGTGGGTGAATTGTAGAACTGGGGAGCTTCGAGGAAACGGTTCTCGCCGGAGTGCGCCGCCGCGGCGGCTGCGGCGGCGGAGAGGAGGAGGAGGAGGAGCATTCTGGTCTTAGATTGCTTTGATTGGCGGAGTTTGTTGCGGGAGAGCAGTGGAGATGGTGCCTGCGTTTTTTTTTCTTGTTATTGAATTTTTCTTTCTTTGGTAGGGGTGAGCGGGGGTGGATTTATAGTGTAATTCTGCAATGCGCGGGATTAATTATTGAGTAAAATTTCATCAAGTGCTATATATATATATATATATAT